TTAACTTATCCAAAATTGGCAATCTCCATGTGAAGATTTTTTTTAATTACTATCATCATCGTAACAATTAGTAAATAATAATAATGAAATGAGCCAACAATTGATTGTTATCGTTTATAAGTGATTATGATTGATGTCTAATTGTTAGAGTGAAATTAGTTTTTCTTATTATATTATGATGATAATCAATTCGATTAGTTTATCAGAATTAGTTCTAGAACTTTTCTTTTTTTGTTTCGTTATCGAAATAATTTTCTTTCTTCCCAATCCTCGATTTCCATTTTTATTAGGAAACAATTTATTAATTGTTATTACTGAATCATCATCATCATCATCATCATCAGTTAGTCTGATTGCTTACTGATTAGTCAATTAATCATATCTATGTAATAGATAATATTTTTCACCTTAATCAATTGCTCATCCATTCATGATCATGTTAATAATCAACTTAATCAATTACAATTTTTTTCGGGTCAATCAATTGATTGTAATCAATCATCATGAGCAACTATCCTCTCACATAACCTTAATTATTAACGTTGCAATTTTTCAAATCAAATTAACTAAAACAAATTGAATCAAATTGATTTCTCGATAGTTAATTATCTGAATTGATAAAATAATCGGCTTACAATTAATGATAATAATCTTCTGGATATGATTGAACTGAACAAACTCTTGACTTTTTTTTTGAAAAGAAAAGGAAAAAACTTTCAATTTCACTTTCGATTTTGAATTTACTTTCGAACTGTTTTTAGAAAAAAATTTAGAACATTATTCTAGGTTCTATTATTTTCTTTTTCTTTTTGAATATAACATGATAATGGACTATCGCATTCTCATCTGAGTAGATTTTAAGTGGACAACATGATGATAATAGTTTCTTGGTGATTCCTGATTCCTGAAACACTGTAGCTATCCAAGCAAAACGAGAAAAAATAACAAAAGTATCATCTTGATCATTATCATCTTCATGTAGTGTCCATCATGATAATCATTTTAATACCCAAGGATTTGATTGTCACATGAAGATGAGTAGAAACGAAAATCCTCCAATTCTGTCAATAACATTCAGAGCTCCATGAAAGCAAACAGGGCAATTCATCAGGATACGAAGATGAAAAACAAACAAAATAAAAAAAGAAAACAATAACAAACTATCATATTCTGAAGGAAAATCTGAATAAACTGAATACTTTATTCATGATAAATAAGCGGTCTGATTGCAAGTGAAACTGAATTCAAGCTGAAACTAAGGTGACAGAGGTTAAGGGCGGGAAGTTGATTCCAAAATTGTATTAGAAACTTCAAACATGATGATGAATATGAATCTTGAGTTGAAGGGGAAAAGGAGAAAACAGTTCCAATAGCTGAAATTAAGAGCAAAAATTTTGACCAAATATTCAAGATAAAGGTCAACTTTTTTTGCTCTCAAGTCTCCATGAAATTGATATCATGATAACATTCAATAGTGAATACGCCATGGTAAAGTATAATGACAATTCTATCAATATTTACATCTCAAGTGGTTTCTTTTCAGTCACATTTTGCTAAGAATGATGAGAATCATCATTAAAGATCAACAGCATGATGATGAAAAATTATCATTCAATCTTCTCATTTGTTGTTGGGAGGGAATTTGTTCCTTCATCATTGATGATAATTCTGAATGGGTGAACAATCTAGTATCTACCCATTGAACACGGAATCTTATCCTTCAAGAGGATCATCTGTCCAACCAATACTTTCACACGAGTGAATTAACCTCCCACCATCATCGGCATAATATTCCACCACCTCCTCCCACTTACACTCCTTCGTTGCCTCCCAAAGAATTGCTTAATAACCGCTTAACTCAGAGAATCAAGAACCCAATTAATATAGATATTAACTCTTTCCGTCTCCTCCCATCTTCTCACCTTGAGACATATTCTTCAGCCTTCTTAACATCATGAGAATAAACCATGAGAACTGAATGCAATGTTATTTACTACTATTATCTTAAAAATAGTTACTTTCTTATTCGATAAAAGTTCTGAAAATTGTAAAGAAAAGACAAAAATGATCGACATTATCTTATAAATATTCTAATTCTCTATGTAACTAAAAGTTTCCAAATAATAATAGAAGATAAAAAGGAAACGATGATAAATTTTCATCCGAAAATCATGATACAAACGCAGCTTTCTCTCTCTCTCTCAATCCTTTTTTACTCGATTAACCGAAAGTTCTGATAACCTATAATCTTTCACAATCTTTGAATGTGAGAAGAAAGAGAAAAGAAAATGATAGAAAGAAAAAAATGTTCCATTCCAATGTAATATCACAATACGAATAACAATAAAACTCAATATCGAAAATTTTTTCTTCTCTCCTTCAATCTCTCAGTTCATTCAATTTTTCGCTATCATGAAATACATTATCTGTTATCAGAAATTCACATGAAAATTCAATTTCTATCCAATGTCTGTATATTTTTATCCAAAATTCAATTCCCTAAATGTGGTTACATGATACACTGAATCTATCGCAATGAATTTGCCCAGTTTTTTATTTGCTTCTCATCATAATCAACAGATTATGAAAGATAATCAATTAACTTGAATCATTAACTTATCATGAAATTTTTAAGTCAACACAATTTACATGATAATAGTTTCAATTATAATCTTATGTTTGAATTGAGTTGAGATTTTGAATTCCCAATGAATTGACCATGAAAATCAAAGGGAAATTCAAATTACAAATGAAACAATTTAATTTATTATCAATTTGACGATTTAAGGAGTTAATTGTGATCCCATATTAATGAGCAATTGTTCAATATTTATCGTTATCATTGATTGTTTCAATTCTGGTTAATGGATCGATAAGATATTATTATGATTGTTGGAATATCAAAAAAAAGTAAAAGTATTACGATGATTGTGATAATAATAAACAATCAAATTAAATCATGATGATGATGGTTGGTGATTATGATCATGATAAAATTGTATCTGATTGTGAATTGATTTAATTTCAAACCATTTACAGTTTATGATTATCAAAGTCAACGTAATCATCTCAATGATTTCAAATTTGATGGTTAACCATTTTGACAGAGACTCAATCAATTGGTGACAATTTAACATCATCATCATCCATGTTTCATGATGAGAAATGATAATAAATTGTAATCATCATGATTACAATTCAATCGGCTGGGATGTTGATAATAAAAAAGACAGAGAAATAAATTAGGACACAAATTGAATTAACCTTGCATATGATAATTGAGCTAAAGGAATGAGAGAGAGAGAGAGAGACGATATTAAATCAAGGGATATATTAGATTTAATTGCTGAAGAAAATGTTGAAAATTCTGTCAATAAATCACCATGATTCTCACATAATCATTATCATGTTCACCTTGGATTAGGAATCAAAGTTAATCTGATTAATCTTTTGCTTAGCTGTAAATATTTTAGTCTAGAAAAGTTTTGAGAAAATTTAAAAAATGATTAACTAACAGCTAACAATCATTTAATCATGTTAATTTATCTCAAACCATTAGCATGTACTACATGAGACCAGCATCATCTCAATTCAATTGTCATCAAGATATAAAAAAGTAGGTCAAATATGAAATGATAAACAATTTGCAATTTACTTAATTTTATGGTTCAATAGCAACAATCAACTTAATATGCTCACTATTAAAGTGTTAACAGGGTGGGTTAGTATTTCCCACCCTTTATTTTTTACCATGAAAATATCATATTTCCTTTCATGATCATTTATCATATTCAGTTAGAAAGACTTTTCTGAGCATTTCCTGATCAACCAGATTGTTACAATTAACTTTAACCACTATCGCAGCACAAATTGATTATAAGGGTCCACAGGTTAAGTTAATCACTCTAATCAGTTAATTAATTCTCTCTCTCTCTCTCTCTCTCTCTCTCCTTCCTCTTTTTACTCCCAAAAGTTTCATATAAGTTTCGTTTTGTTGATTATCATGATCATCTAATATCATGTATTGGAACAAGAAAACAGAAAAATTAACTTAATCTAATCACTTATTGTTTACACAAAACTTTATTCACAGTCTTGTTGCTGGTCAGTAAATTGGGTCAATCAAGTCCCATGTTCAATTAATTGGACATATTTGGGTTGATTGTTGATGTTGATTAGATATCTATTTGTTACACTGATTGTTCAGTAAGGTTCAAATTGTATGGGTCAATTGTAAAAACAATGGCCCAGTTGGGAATTGACCAAGTTATCAGTTTATCAATTTGATCAATCTAATGGTATCCTAATTGTTTCCCATTATCCAATCTATCCAAATAATTATAATGATAATAATAAAATTTATCATCACAAATGATAATCCAGACTAATCGTAATCGTAATTGTGATAATCATGAAAATTTCAATGGATATTAGACTGAAAATCATTGAACCAAAATTTCAATCATGTTTATATTATTATTACATATATTGTATTTCAATTCCAATAGAAAAAAATAAAAAGTGATAACAATATGATTAATGTTTGAAATTTGATGTTTAAAATATGAAAATAGTATGAGAGAAAATATCATATTATCAATATGAATACCATGATAATCATGAACACATTGAATTCCAGTCAATTTATATAACAGAACTTTATTTTTCACCATCATCATAACCATTGAACAAAAAGTTTGCGACACAATAGGAAAAAAAGACTGATAACTTTGAATTGGAATCGAGTGTGATTACAAAAGTGTCAGAAAAAGACATGATGATGATGACGATAATTCAGAATTCAGTATCATCAGTTTTTCAATTGAATTGCAAGGGGAAAAAAGTCAAGTAAATGAACCAGAGGTTTTGAAATTGGTTCTTGTATTGAACAAGTTAACCCATTGGGACAATCAAGTCAAGACGATTACTCATTTATTTTGACACAATTTCTGATAATGTTATTGTCTTTTTTTTTCATTCATTTGTTTCTGATTATTCAGTCGCCGTGGTGGTTGCATTTTTCATGTGCTGGGCTCCTTTTCATGCTCAAAGATTGATGGCCACTTATGCCTCTGGGTCAACTCAAGCGGAGATAATAATCTACAACCTGTTGACCTACATTTCAGGGGTCACCTATTATCTTAGTACGACCATAAATCCCGTTCTGTACAGTATAATGTCAATCAAGTTTCGTTCCGCTTTCAAGGAGACTCTTGGCTCTTGTTGTCGGAAAACAGCCTCCGAACCTGATCTGGGTAAGTTCAACCGTGGATCCCGATCATCATCACGATTCAATAGTACTCTTAAATCAACTCTGGGACCAGAGACTGAAATTATAATTGGCCCATCAGATTCATTTTCTGGATCCTTTAATCGTCACTGAGATCACTTCCCTTCCTCTCTCACTCTCACTCTCACTCTTGATCACTTTGGATCATCATCATTATCATTCAGCTCACAGTCAATTAATCATCTTCATCTTCATCTTATATATATCATTACATTTTTAGACTTTGATCCTCATCATCCTCACTCTTTTATCTCATTCCTTATGAACACCATGTTGTTTGCTATGTATTTCCCTGGTTCCTTTGTTTTCCTCTCCCACTATCGTTTATCCAATACCGATTCAATGACCACCAGCTAATTGAGAGTAGCGAAAGCAAAAAAATTACATATGATATGAACCAGAGAAACACTAGAACCAGAATTTATCGTTTTTCTGGTCCAAAGAAGCAAAAAACCAACAGAGAAATAAAAAAACACTACCAGAGAGATGGAAGAAAAAAAATCATCCAAAACTACAGAAACAAACTGAATATTATTCAATGATCAAGTGTCACCATGAACAGGGGAAAAAATCTCAACGATAACACTGAATCAGAATAAGATGAATGATGTTCAAAGAGTAAAAAAGAGATAATCTAATGTAAAGATTTAGCAATTAACTAATTGCCCAGTAATCATATTTTTCTCTCACATTCTAGACCATCCACAACATAATCAATTGAAAACAATCAGCAATCTAATTGTGATAAAGAAAAAGAAATGAAAAAATAGTTATATTAAATTGAGTTAGTTAATCAACCAAATGTTAATTTTTCCAATCAAATCTCAAAGTAGCAAATATTTAAATCAACAATTAACTAATCTCTAAACCTTCAAATCCTACAATCAACTAATTTATCCTTTAAATATCCTTGATTGTTGTTATCCATTAATTTTTATTCTGCTTGATTGTAATATCTCAATTTAAACACTGAAAATCAAACCAAATCAAATCAAATTCCTGTTTTGATTAGTTGATCATGTCTGTTGATTGTTGTAATCATTGTGATGCAAGATTAATGCAACGGATAAACCAAAAGCAACCACAATTTACTAATTATTATAATAAAAAAAAACGAAACAATTTACCGTTAATTTAATTTAAAATCTATTTTTCTCTTTATCATCTATCATTAGATTGCCGTAATGGAAGTGATAACCATTCAAATATCCAACAAGACTTAACTCCGGTTCACAATTGTTGATTATCAGAATTACTCATAGATTTATACACCAATTAGAATCAGAATCAGAGTCATGATCATTATTATTTTCAGTATTTCTGAGGATCTGAAGTGGATTCAAATGGGTGATAGGAAGAGATGAAGATACTGGAAGGGAAAAAATTGTTCTGAGAATTTTTTTCTACTCGATTATCATTATTACCTTATAATTATTGATTGTTATTTACTCCCAGTGATAATTAGCTTCATCTATTATTTATTATATCATTTATCTCTATTTGGGAAGCCCGATAATTAAAAGGGAAGCCGCAAGTATATGAGCTCGAGTTCGAGAAAGAAAAAGAGAAAAAAGAAAAAAAAAGTTCGATTTCATCTCTTCTGTTCAAGGTAATCTTTTTGACACTTTTTCTAATGTTGTCATCTTGTTGTTATTGTGACCATTGTTCTCGTTAATTGTTGGCTTGATTGTTTATCGTTTTTTCCATTTATATCTGAATTCGATATGAAGTGAGAATTAAGTTCTCACTCTCTCAAAGTTTTTCTTCTTATTCGAATTATTTCAATCCGACAAAATGAAAATGTTCTAATGTCCATCAAACTTTTCTCCTTTCTGTTCGTTGAATCCTTGATCTTCCATCTCGAATTGAAGAAAACAAATTGTTCTTATTGATCGTTGGAGAAAATTCTGATTGTAATCAGCCGATCAGACTTTATGGTATTACAACAATTAACTTGTTCTCATATTTAATTGTTAATCATGATGATCACTTTTCTCTGCATGATTATTTGCTTGCTCATTTTTAATTGTTTGCTTTTAGAATTTGCAATTTGTTGATTATGATTTTCTTTGTATTGTTTTGCTTTTCTGTTTTCCTTAATTTTCTGTTTAATTGCTTGGATGATTCAAGTTAAGTGTCCGAGAAAATTAAAAGTTGTTTTAGATTAACTTGCTCTGATTTTTTTCCAAAAAAAAACTTTTTTTCGCCTTTTTTTCAATCATTTCAGTTACTTTGAATTCACAAAGGATTTTACTCCATAAAATCAACTCATGCTGACCAATAATGGATCATAATCAAAAGTTAATCACACAACAATCAAGGGGAAAACAATTAGCGCAAGAAATTATATCAGAACGATTATGACGAGAAAAAGTTAATTGTTTAACTGATCACAACAACTTCATCAAAAGGTAAAAAAGTTGACAAAAAATTACGGGATCAAAGTTTTATAAACAATATAATCAAACAACATCATCTCATTCAATTGTGATTAGCTAATAATCAATTATTTTCTTGATTGTAATAAACTAAATCACCACAATTAGTCAATTCTAAGTGAGAACGTGTCGCCATCTAGTGGATTTCGTCCGAACTAAAATTCGAAACAAAAAGTTGAAAATCAAGATGAAAACTTTTCATGATCATTTCTAAAGTTTGTAACTACTATCAAGATGATCAATTGATTGTATTAAATTAAATTTATTCTTAACAAGTTTCTAGTTTAGTAAACTTTTTTTTTCAAAACTTTTGTGTTTGTTTTTAGTTATTTTTATTACAATTAATGGTTTGAATTGCGCTTTTCCCATTTGATTACATTACGATACAAGTTTGACTTCCGATTGTTTTATCAGGATAAACTTTCTCGATCAATTTTTCCAATGAAGATGATTGTTTGATTATCGATCCATTGATTGAACCGATTGTATCATTTGAAAAGTCAAAATAAAAACGGAAAATCATGAAAATAAAACCATTTTTGGCCCCGAATCGATTATAATGAAAAGGCTCTTCAATTGATTCTTCGAGACTTTCATCATCCGATTTACAGAACATACAAATGGTTTCAGCACTTAGAACTCGAAGCCGACGATTAGTCTTAAATTCCGATATAATATCCAATTCATTTGCTTCTGAAAAGAGAAAGCAAAAAGAAAACGAATATTATTAACAATTAAAATTCTAACCTTCATTAGATCTAAATTGCGTTCTGACTTAATCACCTTGCGTTGCATTGAAAATCCAATCCTCGAATCTTTCTCGAATAGCACCGATTGAGTCTTTCTTACGAACCGGAAGAAAGAGCCTGGAAGATAAATGGATAGGAGAGATAACTCTGTTCGATTGTGCCGATGATCTATCAAGTATTCGAGATGATTTAGTACAACAGACTCGAAAAATTCTGATGTAACTTCCGTAGTCAGTAAAGTACATATTCTTGGTGTTGACCGATGTTACTGGAGAAAAAGAGAAGAGCAAAATTAGAGAGCAATTGAAACTAATAAATTTTCGAAAATTGGAACATTCTAATTTACATGATTTAATACTCAATTTGATATCAATTGATTGGGCATTTCGATAGTTCAAATGTCTATTCTGAGATAGCCAGTGAGAGGCTCTGGACATTACATCAGTATAAGATTCGAATTTGGGTCGCTTGAAAAACCCACCACCAGATAAATGTCTTGGCACAAAATCAATAATATCTAAAGGAAAGTAAATAATTAACGAACAATTAGTCAATTTAAGATAATTAAACTGTTTTCTATCATAATTGTCCACCCAAATCATCAATAAAAAAATGAGAAACTGTGTCAATGTCAACGGTGGGATAAGTAGTTGGGTGGGTCAGGTAACAGAATAAAAAAACAAAGGTAATCAGAGCTTGAATATAACTCAGATGATGGGTTGATATTTCATGGTTCATGTCATATCATGAATCATGTAAATGATTCATGGCAAAAATTGTCTATGGGATGGAAATCAATGATTCAATGTCAATCGGAAATGCTCATAATCAAAATCATACTACATGAAATGTTAATAAGGAAGCGGAAGTTAAACATTATTGTAATTTGAAAGCAATTTATGTTTTGTCCATAATCAATAGTTAATCTGATTAGATTTATGCTTCATCCTGATTCAGACCCAATCAACAGTTTTGAATCAAAATTGAGTAAAAAAAACTGACGTAATTTGCACTTTTAGTAAATTTTGATTCAAAAGTTTTTGAATGGTTTTTACTAAAAATTGATTGTTTTTTGAAGCAAAATTAAGCTCAATTTTGAGTCAATTTTGAACGTTTTTTATTCAAAAATATCAGAAATTCGTCAACATTCACAAAGGATTCAAGTATTTAATCATTGATTATTCATATAATAGATTTAAATTAAGCTAGAAGATATTCATCGTCCCAATCTTCAAGAAAATTTATCTGCGATTTTTGAGTCTCCTGGATTGATTCATTTTCTTTGATCGTGTTCTTTTGATAAAGAGTATTTTTCGCACTCATTTCTTTCCCGATTCTTTCACGAACACTTTGTTCTGAATTTTTATCAAATTCCATGATACCAGATTTTCGAAAAATGTGAGCTAGAAAATAAACAAAAATATATAAGATCAGAAGTAAAAGATCAAAGGGAAAGAAAAAAGTCTACAAACCGATGAAAAATTGAACGCGTTCTAAGCCTCGAGTAGAATCAAATTCACCATCGAATGGAAAGTTAAATGGATCTTTGAATCCCCACGCGCAACACAGAGGAATTTTTTCCTGATCTTTTTCACGCATTTCCAGAAATTGATCCAATTCAGCATCATCGTAGTATTTTTTTCCAAGAGTAATATTCTTGAGATATTGCTCTGGGAAAGCGATACTGATGATCTGATACGCGAGAGAACATGGATTGTTTGGTTTTGATCTTTTACAAGCTTCCTTATATTTATGAATATCTAGTTCAATTTTTCCTTCTAAGAATATTCGATCTCTCGATTTACTTGTCGCATCTTTCAAAGGAACCTTGATCTTTTTATCTTTTCGAAGATTCTCTTTTTGTATCCAAAGATCTTGCATATCTTTGACAACGTCTATCAGTTCAGAAATGAGCGAACCATTTAAATCGAAACGGCTAATTTGTTTCTTCTTATCTGCTAAATCATTCAAACTTTCTGTGATCTTATTCAACAATAACTTTTCATCTTGAATAACCATGAATTCATTATCATTAGAATGTTTTTCTACTTGTTTCGAATCATGTCGTTGATTGTTCGATTTCTTTGGACATTCGAGAATATCTGTATCTTCATATTCATTTACAGTTTGAGTTTTATCATTTTGAGATGAGTCAGTTTCTTTATCAATCGGATCCAATTGATTTTTCTCAGAAACTTGAATTTCTTTCTTCGACAAAGATTCGACGCGTAGAATAATGGAATCTAATTCATCATCGTTGATTACTTTTGGAGAAGGGCATTGATTCTTATCTTTCAATGGACAATGTTTCAATCTAAATATCAAGCTATGACTTCCAATTGGTTTCGAACAACCATTCCAAAAAGGATTCGTCTCGATATTTGAAACAAAAACTTCTTTCAGTTTTCGTTGATTTCCTTTAAAATATGGAAAAGGGACTAATTAGACAGAAATCAACAAGGAAATTTACGTATAAACTCACCACCAGTAGCAACAATCTGTCCGATGTATGAGTTTGGACCAAGATCTATTTCGAACAAATTCTCAGACGAGTCGAAATAGTTTGAAAAAGGTAAATTGAAACCGAATTCAAGAAACTGTGAATTATTAACTTTGCAAAATATCAGAATCTTGATCTGCTTGTAACAGGAGTCCAGTAGAAGTGGAAAAAACAAAACACATATTTGATCATCAGATTCTTGACTCGTTTGCATGGTTGGTTGAGACTCCGATACCTTTTCAATTACTGTTGTATATGATTTAGATAAACTTCGGTTGGTGAGAGAAAGATCTTTGTTGAAAGAATCACGGATTAAAGAATTTTTCGACAAAACTTTTACTGGTGAAAGAATAGCTCGAGAAGCAATCACTTTTTTAGTAGTTTTTTCACCATTTTCAGGCTTTCTGAAATTTGATGAAGAACAAGGAAATTCATCACTTTCAATTTCAAGAGATCTTTTCACTTTTTTTGATTGAGATTGTGATGATGGAGTTGTTGAATACTTACGAATTTTTGAACCTTTCATAATGAATAATTTAGCACATACTGAGAAACTGAATCAAAGTGATTTGTATTTAACTGGAAAATTTTCTTCTAGAAAATGATCCTGGAAACGGAAATATAAATTTCTAGTTTTTTATTACAAATATTTTCAGTTTGATCCACAAAGGGGGAAGACAAAAATTGCTGCATTAGAAATCAGTGGTTAATTGGTTATCATTGGTTATAAAAAAATTGCAAAAAAAATTATGATCCAATGAGAAAAAAATGTGACTATTGCAAATTTAGATTGATTACGAAAAAATTTTTAAATTGGAAAAAAATGAAATTCAAAATTTTGAAAAAAGTCAATGATTAAGAAATCGGAGATTCGTTGCAATTTTCTTACATGTAACTCTTGATGTACTTTTTTTGGCTTTTTTTCTGTAGTCGTTGTAATAATTTCAACTCTTCTTCTGACATCGGTCCTTCGTCAGAATCTGATTCTTGATTCTTTTCGACTTTATCTTTGACCAACTCCTGGTGATCCAAAGTTTTTTCGAGTTCCACGTCAGCTCCAGTCTCATTGCTATTTGAGCTTTTCTCTTTGGGTGATGAACACTGAAGAGGCACTGCTTGTGTGAAATTAACAATAATTGGTTCTTGCTGAACACTTGATTCTTTGTCAGAACAACTTTCTATTGCCTCGGGATCTTCATTGAATATTCCAGAATGAGCAGAAAATTGATTCTGTTTCAAACTTTCCTCGAGTTTTTCATTTTCTGGATATTTTTCAGATAACCGAGATCTTTTAACATCTCTGATGAAATAAGAAGATAAGGTTCTAGCTCTTTTCTTGGAAGCACTTGCTGTTGATTCAGCTTTACTGGATGAGCATGAAGATAAATCCATCATACCTGAATCATCATCGTCTCTAAGTGATTCGTTTGGATCAGATTTTTTTTGAGATTCAGGATTTTTTTCCAATTCGTTTTTGTCTTCAGCAGTTTGTTGACTTTGTTTAGGCTCATCTTCGGTTGAATTTTCAGAATACTCAACATTAGCCGGAACAGTTTCTTCAATAGATTCAACCTCGTTTGACGGAACGGTATCAAATTCTTGTGGATTTTTATCCTTTTCTACTGGTCGCTTGTCAAGAAATTTAGAAGGACTGGGTAAATCCAATTTTTCATCGTCAAGAGGATTATGAAAGAGATTGTCATCATGGTCAGTTGAACAACCAGAGGGAGCTTTTTCACCGATAGTTGAATCTTTTCCATCATCATGATCTACGTTGACAGAATCCGATGGATCAACATTCCCTTCATCTTCAGATTTGAATATAGGATCTTCTGGATCTTCATCGGTTTGCAATCTTTCTTTAGGAATTGAAAGATCAATCTTTCTATCATAAATTTCTTCATCAAATTCATCCTCGGAGTCGAAATCTGAATCTGATTCACTATATTCTTCCATGAACTTTTCTCTTCTTGTCTTTTTTATTGAATACTTTTGTCGATAATAATGAAGTGATTTAGCCAGAATTGAATTGAAATGTTTCTCAACCACACGATCATAAGATTTACGATTCGATTTTCGCATAACATGAGCTGAAAATTAATTGAAGATTGAATAAAGATTAATTGATATTTGATATTTAATAAATTCGAAATTCCAACTTACTGAATAGAGCGTTTAATCGAGTATCACCCAAGCCATTCTCAAAGGATCCTTCACATGGAGATTTAAGTGGGTTATGATAGTTCCAAATAGAAATGAGCGATTTATTTCCACCAGCACCTCTAAGTGTTACACCGATTATCCAATGTCTTGGAAAAGCATATTTAATAATATTATTCAACACAACTGAAGGTTCAATATCCTTGACAAGATTATTAGCATCCATGGCTTTTTTATACTTTCGCGAGGTGAGCGGAAAAACACCCTCTAGAAAAACGATTTGATCTTCTTCGAAAGTCGCATCTTTATCTGGAATATCGTAAATTTGTCTTATTGGATCTTCTTTCTTGGATGTTTTAACTGCTAATTTAGGCAATTCTTGACTATGGAAAACATTTTCTACAAGAGTCTTAATGACCTTGAATGTTTCTGTTGCGAATTTTTTGCAACTCGGTAGCACATCTTCAACAGCATCTCGAAGAGGAATGAGGCTAAATTCAGATTGTACATCTCCAGAATTTGATCTTTTCTTCTCAACCCGATCACTTGATTCTTTTTCTCCAGAAGATTGTCGAGAATCATCAGTACAAAGATCCAATAAAATCGGAACATTTTTTGATGTAGAGCTAGTAATTGGTTTCGTTGATCTTGTAACTACCCTTGATCCGGTTTCTCTTGGTTTCTCTAGTTTCTGTTTTTTCTTGAGTTTTTCCATTGTGTCCAGAATTTTATCAAATTCTTCAGAAGGTAATCCAATTAAACTTTTAGAATTTGATCTTTCAACATTGATATTATCGATCGTGAATAAATTTGTGTAACACTTTTCAACTTGAGGCAACTTTGTCGTACTAATGAAG